TTTTGTTTAAGAATAGTTAGAAGAAATGGATATATAATATAGTGTACATGAATTGGATATTTACTGTGGTATTTCAGTTTCTCCTCATGTATGTAAAGTTCCCAAGTTTATGTTGTGTTTTCAGCTTTTTTTTAAAAAAAATACTAGTATGGTCAAAACATCTTGAGGAGTTTACACAGATTTTTCTGAGTTTCAAAGGAAATTCCAGTTATCAGTATGCTTGAGCTTATTAGGAATTTTATAAAGAATCTTTGTCCTTCAGATTTATATATATTTATTCTTGCCTCATCATGACCTTTAAGCAGAAAATATTGTTTCTATTGCTCTTTTCCTTTAAATATTGTTAATTATATCTGCTTCTCTAGGAAACAAACAACTGGTAGATTTTTTCATACACTTTATATATATAAAGCTCCTGAAAGACTGAGACTCCTACTACTTGCACTAGTCTTGTCTTTATTCGTTTAAAATTGTTTGTGTCACTACTTTTATCTTGTTCATTTGAAATAACTGTAGAAACTTTAAAAACAAAAGTTAAAATACATAATTACTTGTCAGTACAGTAATTAGAAGAGATCTTCAAAATGGAAGTATGTAATCATATGTGATATCCCAGTCCTTAAACTACTCATTATGCTACAAGGAGGTTCTGAGCATACGTTATGAGGTCAGTATTGGTCTCTAGCAAAGACTTAAAGAACAGGTAATGGAAAAGGGAGGGCACCAACAGTAGCACCTGCAGTTTTCAAACAAAAGGAGTAAAATCTGTATGACTGTAGCCAAAGTGATTGTAACAAATGCTGTCAAAAGAGGCCAAATTTTCAGATTCATCACCATCTGCCACAGGAAATCCACAAGATCTGAATTGGGAACTTTAGGTGAGGACTTCAGGAATCTTGTTCCTGACATTTCTTCTTATTATATATTTCTTATATATTTCTTACACCCCCTCCCTGGAAGTGTTCAAGGCCAGGTTGGATGGGGCTTTGGGCAACCTGGTCTAGTGGAGCGTGTCCCTGCCCATGGCAGGTATGATTCTTACCTGCTGCAGCTATGGACAACATAATTGTTGTTGGATGTATCTCTATGGGGTGGAGCAAAGCAAGCATGGAGTATGGGATCTATGAGGAAACTGGGAGAAAAACAAGGCTGAAGGACAGAACAAAAAAGAGCATCAAGGATGGGACTCAAGCATGGCTGCGTTGAACATGAGGAGCAGAAGATGTTACAGAATAAAACTCGTCAGAGACGGTGCTGGTGGCAACCAAGGAACACAGCCTGCATTGCTGATTGGAAAAAAAAAAAGACTACTGAGTGATGTGCCAACACAAACATGCTGTTCTGGCTTCACTCATGCAATCTCAACAAGTAAAAGAGCTGTTACTAGGCCCCTGCATTGCTTATATCTGTGGGGCAGGCAAAATGTGAACATACGCTCTAAAAAAAGAGACAGAAGGTGGAGCGCAGTTACATATGTGTAGAATAAATGAGAAAAAGCGAAAGCTCCGTAAGACACGTTGCATCACACCCACCCACCTCCCTTGGTATGTCCTGTGACAGTAATAGATGCCTAATTCCTGTTTTCGTATCTTACTTTCTTGTTTGATCTTAGCACCGAGTTTCAATGTCTTGTGTGCTTTAAAGCTATGATAGTCCAGAATGCATTTTCAGTACAAATAAAAACAAATCTACCCCTTTGTTTTCTTCCCCCCAAACTGATCTCTAAACATGGACTGATGTCCATGGATCTGAAAAATACACCAAAAGTACGAGTTGGCTGAAGTATCAAAAAGAAGTAATTCATCTGTAGTCCAGCCCACTCATAAGCCTCCAATGAAACAACAATCAGCTACTGAGTAAAACAGGAAATCTAATTTGTTGGGGAAAAAATAGTATGTGTCAATAATTAAGAATGTGTTGTTTTACTGGTTTATAATATAGGAGTTTAAAAAGATTTTTTAAACATATTTTTCATTATAATTCATATAAACGGTCAAATTCTGCTAGTGAATTTAGACCTTTGTGGAGTAGTATCATGTAAGAAATTTTTATTACCTAATATTCAGAAGTTAGTCTGAACTTTAGGGCTGATACTAACTAGTGGCCTTATGGCAGAAACCAAAAGTGTTTACCTGTTGCCTACATAAACTCTGTACACTAGAGAGCCACCTTAAGAAAGAAATGGCTTTGAATTCTTGTCTTGCTACGTGTAAGTGGTGCTATGCTCAAAACTTTGCAGCTTCTTGAAAGCACCTTGGACTAATGATAACTACACTTTGTGGAGAAAAAGGATGGTTTCTTAAGTGGAAAAATACAGAAAGAACCCATTTTTCTACAGCTCAGTCCATGAAATGATGAAAACAAATAAAGCCTGCGTTATACTTTTCTGTGAGAGGGGACGTCTTACCCACACAAATTGAACTGATGCCGTAGAACAGCTTTGATGAGGAAGGATGCTTAATTTTATGGAGATAATTGTGAATCTCAAGGCATATGTGGTAGAGGCTAGCCTTCCTTTCTACCAACAAAGGTTGCTTAAGAGTGCTGATACTATTAATGATTTGTGTCTCTGTGGAGAACAGCAGAAGTGGAGGCTTGTTACTCACGTTGAAACGTGTTGAGCAAAGGAGTTGTTTGGCAAAATGAGATGGACTTTTTAAAAATAGACTCCCAAACTGAGATGTGAACTACTTTAATTCCTTCATGAGTTTGTGTTTACATGACAGGATGTAATGATACAGATTAAAACTTTCTAAGGAAAGGGAGAAAAGAATTCCCTACTCTGATGTGTCTGCTTGTTAGTATTGGTAATAACATTATTCACCTATCTTTTGCAGGTGAATATCATTATATAATAGCTAATTTGTTTCTTGCTTTCTGGATTTTACAACTGACAGATTAAATCCCTGGCATTTCTCCTAGTTACATCAAAGGATTTACCTATTTGCTAACTTGTATTTGTCCTAATACTACAAGCAATTGTTTCCATGATTCCATCCCTGACCACACGGTGTATGGGTAAGATTCCTCTCCACGGCTGCATGTTTCAAATTAAGACAACAAGTAATGTAACAGTTATTGGGTATTAGAAATACTCTGTGTTGAAGCTGGGCTAGTTTAGGTTTATTTTATAAAATTAGGCAGAAAATACTTAAAGAAATGTTGAAGAATTTAGCATAAAATCGGGATGCTGAATTACATCTAATGATTTAATATATTACCTCTGCCCTTGCCATTAGAAAAGTCTTTTCTAATGTCTAGCTGGAATTCTCTCTTTAAAGAAATTATGTCTTATTTATCCACACTGGATAGAGAGAATGGCTTGTAGCCACTTTTTATGAAATTGAATAGCTCCATCATATTTTCCTGCAGTTGGTTTTCTTTAGATTAAATAATCCTAATTCCTTTTAGCTGTTCTTGTAAATTGAGTTTTCCAGGTCTTTGGTCATCCATGTTGCTCTTATTTGGTCTCTTAAAAGAAGCACCCACATGTCTTTCTGGTGTCCTTAATTAATTACCGTATTCCAGCAACAGTGATTATTTCAGGTGGTTTATAAACAATGCTTCTATTTATAAATTCCAGTATGTTGTTTGTCTTTTTTCAAGTGTGACGTGGTTGACATGCTTAGTTTGTGATCCACTACTACCCCTCTGTTTTCTGCAGAACTATCTGTCTAGTTATTCATGCTTGCCATATATTTCTGTAATTGATTACTCCTGCATGACTTCATAATTCTGCTCTTTCCTTTAAATTTTATCCTGGTTTTAGACTATTCAGCTAATTTTCCAAGATAATTTTCAATTTCAAGATTGTACTCTATCATGGTTGCTTCTCCTACACTACTGTCATCCACAAATATACTGTCTTCTATCACCCAAGTTATTAATGAAAATATTGAACAATGCCATACCCAAAATGAAGCTGTGTGATTCTGCTCAGTATCTTTTTCCAGGTTGACAGTAAAGCACAAATAACTTACTTGTATTTTTTCCAGCCATTTTTACATTTATCTTGATTACATTTCCCTAGCTTGCTGGTGCAAATGCCATGCAAAGCAGTGTCAATGCTTAAAAAAATTAAATTAAGATGCTTAACATTTATTGCTTTTTCTCACTGACTCAATCCACAAGATGTGTATTTTGCCAGAGATTTAAAATATCTTCTTTTGACAGTGTTTGTTGCTGGCAAATTCATACGGGTTATTTATCCCTTTGTCAAAGGTCACCTTACTGTCTCAGGTAAAGGTTGAGGACAGAATGTAAATTAGTCCTTTTGTATTCTTAGTGTCAGTTCTCTAGAAACACAGATAGTTTGGAAGTACTTTTTTGTTTGATTGGTTAGTTTTTTGGGTTTTATTTTGGTGCATGGTGAAATACTCAAAGTATTTGTGGGAATTAGAGGTGCATCTAGACAAAAAGGGAGGGAATAAACCCATAGACATGAGAGGTGAGCACAATCACGATCCCAAGAAATCTGAGTAGCTTAAAGTTAGTTTATCAATGCTACTAATAATACATTTTAATTGGATTACTATAAAAGCACCTGCAACTTATCTGCATTTACAAAGCTTTCATGTGTATAGCTATGTATATATTAACTCATACTAAAACATACACCATAGATCTACAGCTGCGCACACAGAAGGGCTGCTGCTGCCAATACAGGCAATTGTGTACCGAGTCAACTCTTGAAAAATAAGCTACAGCTGTTGTGTTTTGTTCTATAACAACAAATTCACTACCTGCTAACTGAATGCTGCTATGAATAATTCACAGCTGATGCACATGGACTTTTATATAATGACTTCCAGTAGGGGGTACACTTTATTTATTGCCAATATTTGCCAGATTAAGCCAGTTACTTCAAGTACTCTGAAAGGGGAATACCTTAGCCAAAGGACAATTGTCATTACGCTCCCATGAATTTTCATGTATGAAACACAAAATCCACTTCTTTGCTATGCAGCAGAGTGTCATTACCGCTATGAAAAAGCTTACCTTTATCCTTCCATGCACATCGGGCTTACCGCCAACCGAGTAAGAAGCCTGGCACATCTTTTATAGTCTGTCATGAAAAAAGGAGCATTAATAGATTACTAAAGCAACCAGTTCTACTTTTAAAAATCGAAATTGTTAACAGTGTGCAAATTATTGTTGTAATAAAGTTCAGTGAACACCTTAGTTTGCAACAGTAAAGAAATCAGCTCCTTAGACTTAGAAATGGAGCGTGTAAAGATTCTGTAACTGCGAGTCTTGCCTAATGGCATATACAACTCTATGCAGCTGATTTCTGCATACGTACTATCTATAATCTAATGGCATGAATGTGCTTGGAGGCTCTCCATGTGGGATCTAAACATGTGACTGTAATATTTCCATACTAGGGGAAAAATAAGTAGTGCTCATCCATCTTGGAAATCCAGTCCTCAGTTAGCAAGTCTATCAACTTAAGTAATGCAACTCTCCAATAAATTTTCTTCCTAGGAAAACTGTTAAACTAGACAAATAACTTCTCCTAGTCTTAGCAAGGTTAAGTCCAGCCCGAGAAGGTGACTACATCATAGAAATTCATTCATAACTGTATCAAGTTTCATCTTAAAACTAGTAAAATTGTTTTTTCTACAGTAGTCCTACTGTTAGTAATTCGTATTTTACGTACCTTCTAATTTTTGATGAATTCATAATAAGGGGCAGAACCAATACAAAACTAAAAAAATTAATCAAGAGTTTTGTTTTATTTTTCTTTAACATGGCAGACTGAAAGCACATTTTGTGAAAGTTGGTTATGGGCAGACAGCAGAGTAAATTACTTTTTAGGTACCAATGCTACTATGCTGTACAAAGTACTAGGAGGTATGCCAACAAAATGGCTACCACTGTGTTGCAGGATCATAGATGCTTTTAATTTCTTTGTTGTTTGGCCTTTGAATTTCTGCGTAGGATGAACAGTATTACCTGAAATCAAGCTATTACCAAAAAATAACATCACACTGTGCATGAAGAATTAAAGCAGGTTGTTTACCTCATTTTCCTACAAGAAAGTTACTTTAAGGAGATGCTAGTCAGTCCAGTCTGATGACTGATGTTGATTTTCATTAGGCATTATTTCATTAATGAGTAACTACATCTAACATTTCCTAGAGATGAAATGTTAACAATCCCTAACTCACAGCATAGATGTGGTACTACTGTCATTCATACAAATAATCCTCCATTATCCAGAAACTATGTTGGTGGGTATGCCACCTGTCAGGAAGAAAAGGCTAATTCAGACTTTAAGACCAACTAGTTTTTTGCTTCATAGCTTGGAGTAATCATTAGCGCTGAGTCAAATGACGTTTGTGATGTCATCTTTATGAAAAGGTAATATGACCACTTGTTTGTTCAAAACAGATGAGTTATAAGCAACTTCCATCTCCATCCATGTAAATGGAATGTGATCTGGTTAGCCATTACCTATAAATCCTTATCTTTCCCAGATATTCCTAATCAGAAGCCTTACAAATAGGGAAAAACTCTGCAATTCTTACCAAATATGCCTTTAAAATATATTGAGCTGAAATATTTATGAATACTTGAAACTTGGAATCTGTAACTCTTGTTTCTATTCCCAGCTTTGCTACTGACCCAACTGGTTGACCTCAGACAAGTAAAATAAAGTGTGCTTCCATTCTGAAAAGGCTGTACTAAAATAGCATCTGCTTACTCAACAGGTCCACCTCAGTATGAATCTGGAGTCACATCTAATGACTGATAAATGCCAGTGGTTTGTGATTCTTTTAATTCTCTGTGCAGCCAACACCAATGAGATGTCATAAGCTGAATTTGCTTATTTGTGTCCGTAGGCTTTTTTTTTTTTTTCTTAACTAAGCCTTAGGAAGTTTTACTTTTGTAATTCACTGAAGACAAGGGTTGCCAAAATTCACTGTCAACATCACTGGTAGATTGGTAGCTGAACAGTCAAAATATAAAGTGTCTATAATATATGTTCTACATAAATAATCAATGAAAAGGAAATAGCTGCACCTGGATTTCTGATCCTATCTTGAATTTGCAGTACTAGAAATTAAATATGAGAGGCTTGTGAGAAGAGTCATGCATTCCTATGGAAAGCAAACACCTTTGGTTTGGAACCAAAGAGGCATATATGTCAGTACCTAAGGATGCAGTGTTTATGGCCATTCTATGCAGTGTATTTGCAGTGAAAAAGTTGTGTTTCCATTTTCCTCACTGGAATGCTGATGCTGTTCTAGCAACACTTTGAAGTGTACTTAGTACATTTTAGAGCACTCCAAACTCTTCGTTGGAAAGAATGTATTCTAACAACCTCATACAGCTATTCCATTTTAGAATTTTCTGTTGTTTTATCAAAGTCTCTGGTTTTGGTACTTACATGCTGGGATGGTGCAGTCCCTTGTATTGTGATAAAGCCGATGAAAGTGTTTACTACATTTTGGGCTAAAGTAGAGTGGACCTGAAATATAAATAAAAAAATAAGTTATGAATCAGCACAGCTCACAAGAAGAGTGTAGCTTATGGTATGTATGTGAAATGATGGATAGCAATGCAAAATTAAAACATACCTGTTAAATGCTTTAAAAACTTGTCTTTCATCCTCAGATCTCTAGGAACTATCTCTGTTGGACAGAAAAAAGAAAAGTCACTCTTCTGCACTGGAACTATGCTTGCCAAGCATAGTATGAGGACAGGGAATAAACTGTCCAGCAAACATCACCACTATGTCTTGACAGATGCACAGAGGCCAAAAGTCATTTGCATACAGTAGGCCAAATTGCAAGCCTCTGTTTTACATAAGAAGCCACTGTAAAATGCACTGTGAAAAACACTGTGATGATGCAACAAATAATATCTGTTACATGCGCAGTCATTAACAATGATGACAGTTAACTAAGAGTCAGATTTTAGCTCTCTATGAATTACATTTTCAAATTTACCTAGATTTAAATTCTTCCAGAAATTTTAGTGCATGGTTGCTCAGAAATGGCATATTCCAGTAGTGGTAAAGACCCAAAGACACATGCAAGTTTGGTTTAGTGTCTTCTAATTCTCCTATGCAAATGTATCCACTCTTTTGTCACAGGTATGCTTGTACAATCATTGTCCTGCTGTAATCATGGAACTGGACTGATCTACTTACAGGAATCACTTTTTTTTCCCCTCTAGCAGTAAATAAAATTCACAGGAAATGATCCCCAAGCAAATTGCTCTCTTCTGGCTCCCCACGTTTGTGGTTTACCGCCTTGTGTTTTGTGTTCAGCAGATGGCAAAATGAAACTGGTTTACTGAAATCCATTTTAGCCCTAACCCTTGCTTGTGTCTTCCTGATTTACAGCTGTCTTTGATTGCTTTCCGTTACGAACTCTATGGTGATACCTTAGTGCTGAATGTGTATGATACAGTACATGGTGCTTTATTTATTTGACCATAAATGCCTGAACAGCCTTTTTCAGTCTCCTGGCACCTCTTATCAGATATAAAGCAGAAAGCATTTCCATCCAGATCTGATTCACTTGTGAGGTTACACACTTCTCGAAAGTAATTTTTCATTTACTTCTGACTTTAGTCAGTGTAAGTAAAATTGACCTTATCATATTTGACCTAATTATGTCATGAAGAGCATTAAAAACACACATGCTTCACTCAGAAATTTCCCATGGGACAGGCTCACTAGGAAAGCGATGCCAAAACTGAAATGAAAGACTCTTAAGCGGTAGTTCCTCTTCAGAGCTGCTGGGAATAACTCCGTTACAATAGAAGAATGAAAAATCCTGCTTAGGAGTCAATGACACCACTATCAACTAATCTGCTCTGAAGAGGCAGAGAACATAAATAACTGTTCAGCACAAACCAGATGTTTTGCACCAATATGCTGATGTAGGGTGGCCAAAAACTATGCCCATGTTCCACGTTGAGATTTAGACTTGTGCAGACCGGGGTTCGCTGCTTAGCCTGGCCACCTTAACTTTTCCACATTTACAAAACAAAATGTTCTCACTATGCTGATCTTAAGTGGAACAAAATTGTCTTCCTTTGTATATTCATTAATCATCCAGATGGAGAAGTAACATTTTCATGACAACGACCAACAAATGCAAATCATGAGGATATTTGAATATGAATGAGAGTGAAGAAAAGGTACAATGAAGCTTTATGAGATCAATAAAGGCAAAATAAATAGCATACTAGCAAAATGAAAGCCAGTTTGGAAAAAGGTGAGTAGACATCTGCCGGAAAATATTCAGAAAGTCACTTTCAGTAGGAGGGGTAAGATGAGCAGCAGTAATGCTGTAGGGGTTTGGTAGTGACAGTGAGCAATAAATTAGACATGGCAGCAGGAGAAGCCAAATCAACTTTCAACTGGATGCACAGGAGTGCATCACAAAACTGAGCAGTAACTATCCATCACTATGTGGCTTCGTACGACTGCTTCCAGACTGCTCTATACAACCCTGAACATCTTACAAACAAACCTGGGCTTTCACTGGAGGCGTTAGAGAAGAACCATTCACATGAGTGGAAGGACGGCTGCAGGGGTGTCCCAAAGTAGTCACAGCTTGTACAGTGACCGAAGAATACTCTGTTCCAGTTCCCTAGTATTTCAAGGGTGCTACCTCTGGAGTACAAGAGGGACTAACAAGCAGGGGGAAAAGTTTAATGAAGCTGAGCTGCAGGAAAGACTTCTACATGTGAGATCTGTAAGGACATACTATCGTCCTGCAGGGAAATTTTTGCTGGGGTCATTTCCAAGAAACACTTAAAACAAGCGCATTTTAAAAAGTTGTAAACTTCCAGGAAAAAGAGCATTTTTGTCCCTTATTTCTTTGATCTCAGCCCATTTCAGTATTTTCCCTTATTAATAGGTTTTGTTCAAAGCCAACACATAGGAACTCGGACTTTCAGTTGAGTACATTATCCAGAGAGTAAGAGACTCTGAGATAGGAGTGGAGTTTTTCTATTCCAAATTTGCTGTCTGTGTCAGTTTCTGATACCAAAGGGAATCTGTAGGTATTTTGAGCAGTGAATTCTTGGTATAAAATTAGTAACCTGATGTGATGTCTGATTCACCAAGGCACCCTACAGGAAAAAAAAATTAAAATCTCCTAAGTCATGGACTATGACTTACCAACTCTCTGCTCGTCCTGGTATCCTCCGTAGTCGGCCACTTCCCTTCGATCTAAGTTATAGTCGTGCTTGGAGAAGTACTGCACCCCACTGTCCTTCTCCAGGTGGTACCTTTTCAGTTCCTGAATGATCTCCATGATCAGATTTAAGAGACTTTGCCTGTCCTTCAAATCTGCGGAGTCAGTTTTCTCTTTGCAATATCCTGCTGAGAGCATTAAGAGCACCAGCCCCAGCAGCCCAGGAGACCTCAGTCCACTCATTGCAGTCTGACCTGAAGGGTGCACGAGCAGATGAAAAGGAAGGATCCGCTGCTGTGGGAGGCCTCCTGTTTCACTGGAAAAGAAACCGGGGGTGGGTCGGAGGTGGGGACACTCGTGGGGGTGAAATCGTAAACATTACAGGAGGAAAGCCCGGACACCGCTTCGCAGGTTACACAACGCGGGAGCCCAGCCCGCTCCGGCAGCCCCGCGCCGTACTGCGGGGGACGGGCAGCGCGGGGGTTGCGCTGCCGGGGG